CCGATACGCATGTGTCAAACAACACGAGCAGTGGTTCACAGTGTATGATAATCAAGTACTTGAAGGCCCCTCAGATAGTCAGATTGAAGGGTCAAAGTTTCAATGCCATAAAATAGGACGATCTTCACTGTGGCCATGTAAGCAAGGCCTTTTAGACGAAGGAAAATCCCTTTCTGATGCCACATATGTCGAGGTTCAAAAAGACAGTTCTGGCTTTTGCAATACTTGTACTGACTTCAGTCACTATGTGTCAATCGTTGCTGATGCAGCCGACAAGGAAAGTGAATCGCTCAACTACCTCGAGTTCCTGGCTAGCAAGGACCAAGGTGTCCTCAAGTGGCTGGTGGTCTTGAAACAACACATTGCACTTTAACGTTGCGAAGCGCATACCAACTAGTGGGACCAATCTAGAGAGGCTCCTCAGGGTTGACTGCGCCCCTATGACACCGATAAACAGCAAGACAATATCGTCCGCATTATCAGCTTTTCCCCACGCAGTCCCTCAGAGCCTGCATCGTGAGGCTGCGAAAATGAACACTATGCTGGAGTCCAAGACGAAGTTGAACAAAAATGGGGAAATTGGAATACCTGACGAACGCCACTTGTTGACGGAGTGAAAGCTGATCAGTCATCGGTGATCCCGACGTGCCCTGTCGTGTTCACGTATAGAGCAAGTGAAATGCTCACATACTTCATGCGTACACATGCCCGCCCAAGTATTTTGAACAGAATGCATCGATCGACCAAGTCGAACGCAGTCTTGAGGTCGAGGAACATAGCTATTGTTGGTTTGCCATTTGCGTTGCGCTGCTCTTGCACCTGCCGCGGCGTTAACGTCTATACAGCCACGTCCTGGGCGGAAACCTACCTGCTCTTCCCCGGGATTCCCATTCCGCAGCGAGGCGACCAAAGAGAATCGAGGCCAGTATTTTTGTCACAACTGATGTTAGGCTATGAACCCCGTGGTTAGCACTGTCAGTGCGACTGACCTTCTGGTGCATTGCAACCGTAATTGACTCACCCCAGCTAGTTGGGATGATCTCTTCTTCGCAGACAACTCCTAACCGGGAGGGCAGTGCATCGCATAAGACATCACTTCCATCCTTAAAATGTGCAATTGGGAAGAAATCCGGACCAACAGTACCAAAAGGATTACTTGTTGTGGCCCCGTTTCCCACCTCATCCCCCGTCCATGGCTCAGCCTGCATCACTTAGGCAAGATGGCGTCGGGAAACAAACGGCCAACGGAACGGATCTCGGAAGTGCTCCACCCAACAACCCATACGGCGCTCCTTATTGTGGATTATGGCACCCGGGCTGTTTCTGCTTGTCTCAGTGATGAGTAGTGCGGGTCAGCTAGAAAAGCTTACGATAAATGCTTACTTCTCCGGTCTCCTCCATTTTCCGAGTCCGAGTTATCCACCAGGCTTCCTTGTCAGCACATAATCTACACTTTATTTCGGGACTAATTATCCATCTGGCCACATTGTGCTCAGGTCCAGCCGAATATGTGCTCTTAGATTCCAATAGCTTCAGTGAGTTCTCGGATATCCAATGACTGGTGAGGTGGCAAGTGATATTACCACAAGCAGACGCACTGGCATCGTGCATGGCGTCCGAGATTATACTTTACCAAAGTCCAAGGTAACCAGCGCGAAAGAGTGAAAATTCGGGATGCAGGACATGATGATACGCCCGCGTGACCGAAGACTGAGATAAGTTCTTAGTTACCAATGGAGGGAGACGCTTGATACGCCTCCCGGTAATTTTCATGGAAAACAACATAGTACCAAAGCAGGATGGTATTCAGCGAGGATATTCCGGAACGAGCGACAATCCATGACTTAACCATGCTATCTGTAGCTCATGGCAACTTGATCAGTTGAGGTTCATCGCTGGCCTGCACTTCAAATCCCCCTGTGACTAAAAGCGGTGCTACTAAAAAACCGCTGCTGCACCGCGCAAAGTTGGAACAGGCGCTTGTCATTGTCCGTCCGTACGCAGTTAAGCCCATAGTTGCCACCTTGCTGAGCTTCTGGGGGGGGCGCAGGCGCCCTACAAGGATAAACGGACAGGTAACACTGCGGAGCAGCGTGTTCAGTACGTGGTAGAAGGTATCCTTGGCACCCTCAGCTCTGCAGTCGACGTTAACCAGAAACAAACAAGTCCCGTACTGCTTCGTGAATCAAGTTTACTTGATGTCGTCAAACAGGCTGCACATAAACCGGTGCTCACAGGAGTTCCATCAACAAACGACGACTCAGCCGTAAAGCTTTGGAACAGTACCCACTCCAGCATGACCAGTGTTTGCTGCATCAGTGTCTTCGGATGCGTGCAACCTGTAACAAGAGGAGAAGCCAGGCGCAGTTAGTCCAACAACCCTGTTTGTGGCAAGGATCCTAGTTTTGGACACAAATCACAACCCCCCGTGTGTCGAACATGCGTGCCAGGGAAGCCTGTTGTCCTCTCTGTCTTAGAGTGTGGAAGTTGAAGGCCGCCAGGGAAACGGGCAGCGTAGTCTCCTTATAAGGGACTGTTGCTGATAGGCGTCCAGTGGATGGTAAGGAAGGTACTGCAGGTGATGTGAATTCAGTGACATTGCTGCTGCGCTCAATTAGGCTAGAAATTATAGGAGGAAGGCTAGTAATAGGACTTTGAGGGGAGTAGTAAAAACAAGTAGAAAAGAAAGAAGGGAGGCGCCGGCAGTAGCAAAATTTTACTTATCCGCCGACCCTTGATAATCTGCTCGGAGGCCGATGCAGGATATGGTCGAATTTCGAAAAAGTAGTCGTCATTGTAGCAGGGTAGAACAGTACGTTTCTAGATGCACAAAATGCTTTATATCTTACAAGCTATGACTTCATTTTCTCGACGTAATATCCAACTGTGTTTATACACAGTTCCATGCGCTCGAACCATTTTGAGAAACAACTACAGCATGACGAAGCGGATACCCTATAAGCAGCTTAATAAAGATTCTTACTGCAGCTGCTGAAATCTCATAGCAGATTCCGGGCATCATGCGCTTGTTATTTGGGAACACTAAATATCACACGGAGGCCAGTAGGGAAAATAGACTGGGTGACAATCCTCTTGACTGCGTTCTCTAGCCAGAAAATCTCCGACGACATGCGACCCGTGTACAGGTGCGTTGTCATGGTGAAGAAACCTCCCTGGTGCTCCAGTCCTTGGACGAGGCCTGTATACAGCTTCCAGCACTTGTGGAAGACAGTGGATGGCATACCAGTCTCCGGTGTCTGCGTTGCCGTCCGAGTGGTACAGTAGATTTTAGATGACCACTCTTGGCCACGAACAGAGTCATCATATGCTTTGGCACACTACACTCACGCCGGAACTTCTGAGGCTGCGCCCCACCAAAGCCCTTCCACTGAGCCGATTTTGCTTGATCACTGGGTCGGGAATTTACACCTAGGTCTCAACACTTCTGTAGATCTCCCAAACAGCATCGGAACGTCCACCATTAAAGCTGACAAGTATGGTACGGCGTCAACTAACCCGAGCTGCTTTCTGACCCTCACTGAGCTCATGGATTGTCCAGCGTGCGCCAACCGTCCTGAGGCCGATGTTCTGATGTAGGATGGTACGGATTGATCCGGATGAGACCCCGATGGCTTTCCCCAACTGCAACACACTCACCCGCGAATCCTCCCCCAGCATTGCCTGCACAGCAGCAATGTTCTCCTCAGTGGTGGCCTCCACAGGTCGACCACACGTGCCTTATCATCCAGTGACCGCTTGCCACCGTTGAATACCGCAAACCATCCATGCACGGTGGTTCTTGAAGACGTAACAAAATAAAACGTAGCACGTAATCGCTCAACACTGGTGCAGATTTAAACCACATTTGTTGTCGTAGAAAATCAGTGTCTTCCAGTGACCGACTGAATTTCATACTCACGGTCAGAGTATAGCAACCGTTCTGAATTGTGAGCTTTACTGAGCTGCTGATATTTCGTTCCGTGAGTTGAACTCATCGAACAATGTTCAGAATGGATTACAGTTCATATTTTGCGAGGTCACTTTCAACACTGGGACGAGTTAATACACGCATTTCAAACAACATGATTCTCCGGAGCTGGTTTTCTGGGTACAAAAGCATAAAGCAAGTTTTCACAATTCAACCTCACAAAAGTTTCAGCTGTACACGGTAAGTTGTCGCCTATAATTGCTGGTCTGAAGTGTATGCAACTCGATGCCACACACACTTTGCTAACGTGTCCATGAATAGCAGTCGGTTTTTGACCCTATTACCCCAGATGCCGCCGTACAGAGTCATTAGTAATCAACAGTAATTTGATTCAATACTCTAATAGACTTGGTGAGTTGGTACAATATTCCTGCCTAGCACGAATAGTTCCATTCCACATTCTTTAAATATATTGTTGTTTAGCTTGTTAAAGGTAGCGTCAGCCACGTTATATCTGCCTTCATACGTATTCGATCTTCGTCTTAGCAAATTTGGCGTGCTTGTGGTTTCCATGGCAGTCCGTTTGTGATCCAAGCGGCATTCTATGAGGCATGCGCAACCCGCCGATTCCTAGACACTTATATCGACTCAGTCGTGTGAGACAAGAATCTGGGTGCTGGAGTGGAATGTATGACCTTGGCACTTACGGGTCTGTAAGCATCACTCAAGTGCACTACAGACTGTCAGTCAAGAATCGGCTTGGAAAATATTTTTCTTTATTTCACATCGGATGTTTTCACACATGCACACAACATCCCCCGGGATGGGAAAAGAACAAGATGTCTATCGAGAGCTGAGAAGTAAAATAATACCTGTCCTTTTAAATATCACGAAACTATGCTAACCGATAAACCTGCACGTTCCTGCATATCTATATTGGAGGGATAACATGTGGGTTGCTTGATGCAGCCCATGCAGAATTCTTACAGGGTTCATTTGGCCTCTGTTGTGAGCACAAGCTTTTACTTGTGGCTCAATGTAGCAACGGTATTTTATTTTACTTTCCATGTAGATGCCTTACTGAATGAGTTACATCAGACAAATGAAGAGATACTCAAAAGGAACCAAATTTGTGAGCTACCCACTCATACCACAATGCTGGATAGCCGACGACCACTAGAGACCGAAATCGATCTTGTCCCATCACCGTCAATATGCAGCACATTCACTTTCGATCAGAAACATTCTACAAGCAGTGAAGACTACTCTAGCAAACTACAACCTCCTGTCCAAGCAACTCACAAAGGTAGAGCGATGAAGGAGCTGAATGACATGTTGAATATGCTTGATCAAACTGACTATGCCAACCTCATCGGGGACGATTCCTCTTTAACATTCACCACCCACATATGGGGCGATCCAAACGAAAACAGTCCAAAATCAGGTGGGTCTTCGTCTGTGAAATGCGAGCTGCTAAAATTACCTTGATTTCTACAGCTTTTGAGTATGAAAATAAGTGTGTTTTAAGTAGACTATTGAGTGAATTAAATAGAGGAAATTTAAAAGGAGAGCACGGATTATTGCTAGTTGTTTCTTTGTCACTCTATTTATGCCAAATTCAACTGTCGCCAATTCAACTTCTGCGATTAGACAACTTAGCGAAGTTGAATTCAGCCAAATGGCGTTAAGGGCCTCAGGAGTTTCGAATAGTCAGATTAGCATTTCACAATTCAGTGACTGTTTGTAAACCGCCTGTGTTTCTGATCTAAACAATTCGGTGCGCCTGATAAATGTAAAGGCGGATCAAACAAGAAACAGGTAATACTTGCAGATGCATGGTTTCTTTGGCATTTATATTGGTTATTTAAGGATGTTATTTCTTTAGCTGAGGGATAAACCCTAGAGGAGTTGGTGTAGTTGAATATTTTACTGTGATTGCAAGGTAAAGTGTTGCACTCTCGTCTTGATCTATGCGTTCTACTGTGCATGGAAAGAGTTACATATGCGTCTGACTTTACTTTGTTTACAGAGTTTCAAGAAAGTTTACGTTTTTCATTAAATATAATAAGTGGTAAAAACGATGGTGCAACCTGAACATCAGACCGAAGGTGAAGCAAGAACAATAACTCGTGTTGCTTATCTGCGGGCGATCCGAAACAGAATGCATATCCTCCTTTTCATCTTTATTGTATCAAGGCCTGTATAGATTCTTTGCTTATAGTTATTAACCAAGGAGAGGTGAAGTAGGTTGAAGTCACAGCTGATCAACCGACATAGGTCAAACAAGGCTATCGTTGTTGTGTAACAACTGAGTAGTGTCTTTGAACTCATTTTACGGCACGAGTGAAACGTAACAGTACCATGATCACCAGACAGTCCATGAGTCAGCTATTTCAACTTGGACAGAATTGCAGTTCTGAACTATGCTAAGTACAGCTAAACTGATTGATATAGCGTAACAGTAATTGACGCTGAGCCCAATGTCAGGGAAAGCTCTTGCTAGCAGGGTTCATTCTGGCTACACAGAACCTTTGATGAGGTCCTTTGAACATATGACCTTTACCGAATGGTAAGTCAACAATAAGTCTCTGGCGAACGTTTTGACAAGTTGCATACCTCACAGCTGCTGAAACTTCTGGTAAACTATACGCCTCTGAAGCATTTTGAGGCACACTGCAACTACCAGGATGGGCGTAACTGCAAAGTATCACCATCGCATGTGCGACGTCAGCTTAATATCATTAGGTTAAGATGTTTTAACTGCACTACAATCTGGCCCGGCATATTCGCTTCCAATGTTTGCACAGTTCAGCCGATTAACCCCCGTTTCCGTAATAATCCAATGGGGTAAGTGAGAGAGAATCATCAATCAGCATTTCATTGTAGATTATGCAATGTCATTTAGGTCAACAAAATAGACGCAATGCTTACTTTGATCTATCTAGAGCTAATTAGAACCGCAAACAATAGTGTTGCAAGCCTAACCATCTGTATATATTGACCGAAAGGCGGGAAACAGGTTATCCGTTATACGTCGCCGATGTAGGGCTTAGTAGTAGATATCCGGTGTATCCGCCCGAACCAGTGTCACCATATTTTGATGTTTAGCCAAAACACATATTTAAGATGCCATCCTTTTAAACTAGACATACAATATAGCCGACTCTTATTCTGGCGAAATATTCTTTCCTCTTGTTATCACAGTCCTTGAACCATCTCAGTTAATCTTACTTGGGCATGAAGCGAACCATATGCGATAAGTGCAAATCTGGTAAACCATGTATAGTTAACACTACACTGTTCAACCCAGATTTCGTTACATGCAGCAAAATCTGGAACGATTTATCCGGTAAATAGCTACTGCGTTTGCTCAGAGCATCATAATGAGACCAAGACGCATTGGGAAGTTACATTATGGTATGTTATTAACGCTTAGCGAGTGGTTAAAATCAAGCATTGTGGGCGTTTGGAAAATGCTCCGGCGAGTCCGCAGTGTCTATTTTCACGAATTCAAAGTGACTGCTAACACGTTAGAATGCCTCACTGCTGTTTTCATAAGCTTTAGTAGCGGTAAGCAGCTGGGCTAAGGGCAAAAACGATTACACTTGAGGGCACGGATTTTGTCAACCTAAAAACTACTCTATGGACACAGTTGCTTCATCGACACAACCGTGATTATTAAAATTGTTATATGTACCCATATGTTGTGTGTGTGTGTGCGTGTGGGAAAACTCTTGGTTCATCGACAGGACTAAGAACCAGTAAAAAGGCGATTCGGATTACCCTGCGTTATATAAATTTATAATTCGTGCTCTTGTTTTTCTAAAAGGCGTTTGTGCTATGGCGTGAAAACGTTGTAGCTATTGTTGATCGGTTCCTTATAAGAAACAGATTCTCGCATCGTCTGGAAACATATAATTAATTTCTTGACTTATTTACACATTTTGTCCCTTTGTGTACCCATGCGTCTATGGAAAAACGCTTTTTGTTAAGAACACGAAGAAAAGCCGATTGCCGTTTAATTGCATTCCAGATTCTACTCGTATACAGTCGCCAGATTCGAACACAGCCTTCGACAATGAGTGAGTGCGCAGCCATATGCTGCTTCGCTAATTATGTTTCCTAAACTTGAAGATCCCCCACCTTAACGGTAGGGAGTAAAAAGCAGGATAAGATGTCATACTTATACATCTTTTACCAGTGCAACACAGTTACGGAGAATATTAAAAAATGGGGTAGTTAGGCCGCACAACCCAGATGATAAATATGACCTTTCATCAACGGAACACATGGCTTGTGCATTTTCATGGAAAGGTGAACATTAGGCGTTATAGTTTACCACTCCATAAAAATCAGATTTTTCTCAGTAAAACTGTATATAAATATATAAATATATGTTTGGTGGTTAAGTTTATGTGCATGAATGTGCTAAGTCCCTACGTTTTGCAAGCATTTTTACGACTTGTTCTGTGGCCAGTGTTCTCAGTCGTTTTAAACCCACCTATCGTTCATATACAGAGACAAGAAGGGTCCCAAAATATTGTGCCGTAGGGTAAATAACTTGTGCTAACGTCGATTAAATGTGCCCACAGCGGAGAGAATTTGGAACTAAAATTTTGGCTTAATGTAATCTAACTGTAGGCGATAGGGGGATTGGCAAACGGCCCAATATTTGTGCAATAATCTGGAGAACAGACTTTGCAAGCTAGGCTTGCTTGCAACAAGCCTTCATGTGTACACTCTGTTCGGATTGATTTTTTTTGCCGATGTGACTTCTAAAACATCCTCCTACTTTTAGATTAAAGTACAAAACTTTGAGCTTTACGGAGACAGCCATGAAACGTTAGGCATAATCTCTCATCAATACCGTCTCACAAGGTAGCTCTAGGTTAACGAGGCGAAGGAAAGAATTCACACTGGCATCGTTGAAAACTAGTCTGCTTGTATGGCCTGATATTTTAATACATGTGGAGTTTGTGCAACCTTAGCGTAAAAACTCCAAGGACTGGGATAGGAGAACGCAACATTTTGGATAAATTAGATAGCAAAGCTATGTTAGTGGCTTCATGTTTGTTCGACTGAGGTACGAAGAAAAGAATAGTGGACAGAAAATCTGCCATCAATAAAAGGTCGATTGAAGAGCGTCTACAAGAAAGTATGGAAAGAGTGAATAAATAAGGGTTTTGTTGGGTTCATCACTGCAGCTTATATCCAGATATTATGAGCAACCCGCAAATACCCCAGATGGATTTTACTCCTAAGGGTACGACTCTAGATAGCAGCTCATAATGCTGATCCAAGGGAATGATGGTACATCGTCATAAGTCGATACCTAATTGGAATTAAGCTCTTCCCACCCACGACGCCAGTTGCTGTATTCCTATAAGTGCACTAGACCTCAAGGCAAAACAAGAGCTCACCAAGTGTTATGAACCGTGTATTCTAACGAATCGAGGAAACATGCAATGCTCCTCGACAGGCTGAAGATGTGCAGTGTTAGTGGTTCGCTGCACCAATGAATCAGGAATTTCCTTGTTGATCGAAAGTGGAGGGTCCAGGTGGACAACCATTTAACCGACTGGTATCCATCGAACAGTGGCGTACCTCAAGGCACTGTACTGAGTCGATTTTGTTTCTGATCCATGTAAACGATGTGCCTCAGCTACTCCAATCACCTTGTGCGTTGTTCACAGATGACTTATAGGTGCGGAGAGTAATCCGCACACCCAATGATTGTGACTTGCTTCAGCAGGACCTCGACCGCCTCTCCACGTGGTCTGCAGAGGTCAATCTTCCGATCAACCCGGTCAAGTCGCAATTCATGAGGCTGGGTAAGTGTGAACACAGTCGAAGCTACACGGTGGCTGGTCAACCGTTGCATCCCGCGCCTTTCGTGCGCGACCTCGGTGTACTCTCACGCTACGACCTAAAGTCCATGGACAACACGAATAAGCTTTACCAAAACAGTCTTCATATGCTTTGGGCGCTCAGGCGCAGCTTCAGCACTTGGTCCGAAGAGATTGCCTCTCGCCTCTTCGTCTCAATAATACGACCAATGCTAGAGTATGGCTCTCCCGCGTATTGCCCGAACACCTGGTGCGAGGTAGAAAACATTGAGCGAGTACAGCGTGTAGCCACCAGGCTGATTCCCAACTTACGAGGTGCGCCGTACGAAGACCGGTGTAAGAAACTAGGGCTGTACACCCTAGCTTATGGTCGACTGAAGGTTGACCTCATCATGACGCACCGGATATTATATCTGGGTGATTACCCTATGCTGAGACCACTGCTTAATCTGCGCACACCAAGCAGCATACGATGACACCGGTATAAGCATTTCGTACTGGATTTGAAGCGGGTCGCTCAGCGACTGTGTTTCGAACGCAGAGTGGTGAATGTGTAAAACGACCTGACGCTGCAAGTAGTTGAGGCAAAGTCGGTGTCGGAAGTTAAGAAATTCCTTGACGAACAGTTTGTCGACGTAAAATATATTGAGCGGAACACAAATTAACGGATCTTTGTCTATGAGTGACAATTGATGCAGCTACACAGAGCAAACACTACTCGCTACATCTAACCAGTAATTAGTAATCAGTATTGCTCGTCAGCATCCGAAGGGCACGTACACGTCCAATCCGTTGTAGGCAATACACTTGCGTGCTTCACGCGCGTATTCTCAAGGCTGAGCGTATACATCACCACCATTATTATTTTACGTTAGTTAGTATCCAACAAAATAATTGGCAAAAGTGTTCTGTGGCTATTGCTATCCACGGAGGGTCAGTGATTCGGCATCTTGATTTCCAATGTATTGCAGCTCGGCTATTGGACAATCCACAAATTCCCAGTTATTTTCGACTGAAGATCAATCTCCGGTGCGCATTTCTGCAGCACATCACGCATCCCAGCAACTGGATGACCTCCTAGTTTCCCTTGGACAGTTAAAAGTGAGTTGCCAGACCAGCTGTGAATGCTTGTTCCAGGAGATGTGAACACTTATTCTTTCACTGGGTTGTACATGATGCCCAAACTGGTTGATAGGCTTATAATGTGTGTGTAAGTTACTCACCAAATCAAGGTACAATATGAGACATGACGTTAAAATAATGGTGGTAATTCAGAGCAAGCCTGTTCATTTTTGTTGAGAGATGGTCCCGCCTATTTTATCACAGAGTATCTGACTGGATTTCCTTCGGCTAAGTCTCGCATAACAGGCAGAGGTACTCAACGAGGTTCTATAAAAAGTACACACTAATGCTGGTGATTCCACTGTGTTATGAGATTTAGTAAGCCGCTAACTCGCAAATGCCTGCTAGAACAATTTTCTCGTAAATTAAATTTGTTTTTTTTTCAGTTTGAAAGCAACTAATGTTACCCATATGGTTTGCTGTGGTGGCAGGATTGGCTATCGTAGTTAGTTATGATAGATCGCAGATTGGACAAAAGAACTTGGCTGTTTACTTCCGTTAATCTATTGATTTGAATTCCAGGTTCTTTGTTGTTTGTAAGCTTTTATCCAGTTTGGAAAGTGATCAGTCCCTAATTGTTGGGGGTGAACCGGTTACGTGCTGCTTAAGCTCCTCTGAGTTTGACCACTACGAACAAATTTTACCGGGGCATTTGCTTCTAAATGTTGTAAAGTGGCCTGACAAATTAAGAGCAAAGATACCTTAGACTTTTCAGTGTTTAGTCTTAGGATGTCATCAGCTGTCAAGGCGCTGAACTCGGACGCATAAATATTTGAATTACACTAAATTCACACAAGCCTATCTCACTTCCTACTAGTACGAACAGCGGCCCATAAAATGTTATCCCGTTACAAAAGTTTTTTAAGCATTATGCTTTCACTTATGCGCTATGCTTGCGGGTAAAAGCATAAAAACACGCCATGAATAGTGCCTGTATCAGTCACTGTACTGTTCGAGGAAATGTGTAATTTTAGTCAAAGCCACTCACTATCACCCAGCAACATCAGTACTCTTTTTTTCTCAGCTGTTTGAGGTGTTGTACGTTTCTCTTGCATCAACGTGTTAGAAAACTGGACAATTTAATCAACTTCTTAATTCTGTCCCGTTTGTCTACAGCATACTCATATTCAATTTTTAATATTTCCTGGAATCATTGCAAGAAAACAAACTTCCGTTTACCGGTTCTTCACTTGCACAAAACATAAGACGACAGACAAGCCCCTTAGTTGGTCTGCTTGTCCTTGCAGACCCAATTGAGTAGACCTCAGAAATTCGGCAAAGTACTTAAATACGGTCAGTGTCAGTAGCAATTGTTATGGAACTAGTATGCAATATCTCCTTTTTACAAACCAGTCATCCTGACCACTCAGAAATGACCATTTGGCGCAATAAAACTTCGCTACCAGTATACTGACACCACACAAAACGAACACTTTAACCAACTTATCTGTTAGAATACAATTGCACCTATTTCGGCGCAAGGGCTAGCACATGTTCTCCGTCAAGTTTGACGGGTAGCGGCCAACCATGAAACGAAAATCGCATTCCTCCGAATTTCGCTGCTGGCGTGTGTGAGGCACTTGAACTCGTTGGCAAACTACTGGACCATGTGGTGCACATGAATCGATCGATCGCGGTATTTGATGTGCTCCAGGGAGGGTCGAAAATACGGCTACTGGTGTGCTTTTCATCTAAAGGAACGAAATCAGGCTAAATTTATCGACACTGGAGTACAAACCCGACGAAGACAAAAGCAGTTTTGCAGACATGTTTAGGGTAATGGGCGACAATTTCGATAAAACTCTTATATCAGAAACAAGTGTTAGCGAAGTGGCGTTTTTTCGGTGGATCTCATTAGGCTTATGCACCACAACTGATAGGAATAAAGTACACGAAATACATAAGACAGTGGTGAAGTTCAAAGGTCTAGGTTTTCTGAATGACCCAGTTAGGTGGTTGGTTTCGAAGCTATCAAGGACATGTGAGTGGTGTGTTCCTCAACATCATTCATTGTGTTGAGGTAGAAGAAGAAACTGTGCCACTCGCTTTTGCGCAACAGCAATCATTTCGGCTGTTGCTAGTAAGCGATGCCTTACCGCTCATGTGTGGCGTCCAGACACGCAGTAAATAGGTTCGAACAATGACGGGTATCGAGCTGATGATTAGAAACAATCAATCTTATACGGCTCTCGTGACTGTTTTCTTCACACCACTAAAGAGGCATCCGGGCAATGCTCACGGATCCTTTCAGACAGTCTCCTGGTGGTCCTTCCGATATACCTTGATATGAATAAGAGAATGAGTAAACACAGAAACAAGCGCGACATAGAAATTTGGTCCTCAAGTTGTTGCTTCATGACTGGTTTTTAAGTAAAACTTATGCATAATTTTGCTGCTTATTAAGTATGGTCAATTGGGTCGGATAGCCTTCAAGACTTTGCCTGCGCTATTCTATCACCCTTGCACGGTAAAGATAGGTAAACCAGTTTCTTTCCGAACGAATCTCTCACCTCGTTGCACTCTATATTTCTCCAAACAAACTTTTCCGGATAGCCACTTCTTACGAAAAGGCCAATGAAAAATTTCAATTCGACTGGAAGCGTGTCCTCACTATCAATGTTTCTGGCTTTTTCGGTTAAACACCTAATTAAATTCGGTTTCTGAGTTAGTGATACAAAGATGGCAAAGTGCAGATATTGTCCTTTCCACATTGCCTTCCTGTGCACTCTCCGTTAAGTGGACGCATCTAGTCTTCTGCCAATCTGGACTTCTAGGAAGGACATCGTGCCATTGCGTCCAGTTTCCAGGGTGAACTTAGCATTATAATGCACTGAATTAAAATGGGACAAAATTTGTTCTGTGCAACAGTGACTGTCTGTTACACAGAATATATCATCCACGTATCGCCTATAGCTGGGCAGGCCGCTAATGAGAACGCTGTCCGCTAACTTGTTTCTGATGTCTACGCCTGGGATATTTTTCACCTGAAACAATCCAAGGATCCGTTGTGCTCAAAGGCCTTAACCAATACGTTAAGTTCTGCGCAGGATTTGCGGCAGCGAAAGTGACAGTGCAGTTTTTGCTTGAAGCATCTTGCGTTGCAAATATTTTGAACAGTTTTGGGAAATACTCCGAGGAAATCAGATTAAGTTAACCAATGTGACTTTGAAACGGCACGCATTGAACGAGCGCGACAACACTGTCTGAAGACTTGATGAGCTGAAGCGTAACCGGTGCGTGTATTCTGTCCCTTTGGACAAGGTGGATCCAGAAGAGCGCGAACGATTTTAAGCAGTTTTTCGGTGAATAATCGCAAAACAAGAGGAGAGACGCGTAATCTCATTGCAGCGGCAAGTTGTCGCGGCTTAGGCAAAGATACGTTCACCATTTTCCCCATTGCTTTTACATAAGACAATGCTTGAAGCTCTTTCAATCAGTCCAAATTTCTATTGTCTCCGTACTTACTCAGGACAAATAGAATTAGAAGTTGTTGGAAAATTTTGTTACTCAAGTTTCTACGCTTACGCCTTCGTCAGCGCTAGAGTTTGAGCATTTTAAATCTACTCTGGTCAATACGTGTTACCAGTATATAACGCCCAAAACCAAACTGAATTATTTTCTGATGAAAGAACACAGACGCCCACAAAGCACCAATAAACCGTGAGTGTGCTTCTTTGTAGGCCGGATAAAGGGGCGCGGATCGTCTTGTTGGGGAAATCTGACCATATCGACAAGATGAAGATCATCCTAAGGGATCACACAAAGTTCCGTAAAATGGAGAATGAGAAGGACAAAACAGTGCGATCGAAAAAACAGTTACTTGCATTTACGATACTCGAACCAAGAAAAGCGATCGAATCCGACACGTTCAAACACATTCGGCCCACAGGACGGTGATTCCAAGGCTACACGATTTACTGAATATAAATACACAAGGACTTTTACTCAGGTCCATATTAGGCATGTGTGACTCGCCGTACAACAAAACAGTCAAGCTTTTAGAACCAATGAAAAAGTTATACTTAAACATAGATACCGAGACATTTTCATCTTCTTCTACCACTCCATAAGACATCTTAAGCTTACTGGAACAAAGATGTACTCGCTGGAGGTCGTGTGGTTCTTCCTCAGTGTTTCCTTGGAAGAGACTCTAGACTATGTATGCGACACGTTTCGAGCACATCAATTGAATGTCTGCCTATCAAACAACCGCTTGAAACAGCTATTCACGAGGTGTACCAGAAATATAAAATTTCAGTTCGACGGGGCGGTATACAGAAAAAAGGACGGCGTAGCAATGGGCCCACCGCTAGGACCGCTGTAGCAGATGTGTTCATGCGCAGCGAGAACAAGCCTGTTCGCTACCTTCTTCCGGATGCTTACGCCTGGGATAACTTTTCACTTAAACCTCTTATAATTCTACCAGCACATGGGCGATCTACAAGATAAATATATTTGCGCCGTAATCTTGCACTTATACCCGAAATGGCGCCCTGCGAAACACGTACAATACTCCGCCAATGAAGTGTTGTATACATTAGCAATGAACGTACAATAAACTTCCAAACCCGAATATTTTCTAAGGCTTTTGCTTATACGCTTCACCTGACGCAGCAATTATTATCTACCACTTTTCTGTGACAATCTGCAGCCTGCTACTTCGCTAAATTTTGTAGTTTCTCAGTCTAAGGTCGGTGATCCGTTGCAGATAAGAGCGATTCTTGTGGGAACCCAACATGACCTGCTGGTCCAAGTTCCAATTGGACCTACTGGCAATTGATTGGAGGCGGAATCTAAGGTTATTGTCTCCACGAACCATAACTCAGTAACTAACCACTTCAACTATACAAATTGTCGGCGATCGCGAAAATTTGCTTGTAGTACGTACATACATACACGGCCTTCTGGCGGCATTATTGTAAGGTATTTGGTGGAAAATATCTCTCTTGAACAATAAGGCCTAACGAAAGCCCACAATA